AAGCCATCCTCAGGCCTCTCCAAAAAAATTTCGAACGCGCCTCGCGAACTGAAGCTCGTGGCGCACCAGCTCCTGTTCGGCGCTCACCCGAGCCTCTCAGCCGAGGCGACTCACCCGACGGCAGAGAAAGTCGAAGAATCTTTGACGCTCGAGGAGCTGTCCAGCCGCCTCACTGGTCTCGCCGAGGGCTTCGCGACTGAGGAGGCGGCGCGCGAGTACGCGCGTGCATCCATCATCGACAGGCGACAGCGCCACTCGCTCTCCGCCTCCTTCACCGCCGTCGCCGCCGTCCGCATCATGGAGGAGCAAGCAAATTCAGCGCGGCTGGCGCGAGCGAGCGAGTCGCCGGCAGATTCGGCGGCGTCCGGTTCGGCGTACGGTTCGCCCTCGCCACTCGAGCTCGCGCCATTCCTCGGTGTGTAGCAAGGAGATGGAGTGACACAAGATTTCTGGGGCGCGAGACTGACCACATGACCCGACGCTGCTTGCCATGCCCATGTGCCCACAGGCCGCTGGAAGCTGGAGCGCGAGGACGGCAAGAAGGAGTACATCGCGTCGCTCGACGTGCCTTGGGTGATCAAGCAGATCGCCTCTCGCATCCCCGCCCCGCCCATGTCGCACTCCATCGAGGAGGGGGTGTTGGTGGGCCAGTGCCGGTGCATGGGCCTGGTCTTCTCGTTCGTGTACGAGCACGGGCTGACCGAAGAGAAGGCGTTTCGCGGCGTCACGGCGACCACAGTATTTGCGTGGCAGGGCGCGGGGGCGCTGCGCGCCGAGGGCGTCGCTTCACGCCTGTCAATGTGGGGTCGATGGCGAGAAAGAGACGCGGTTGACAGCTCTGCGTGTGAACAGGCATCGAGCACTTGGGACCGGTCATCACCTCGCGCACCACCTCGAGCAAGCAGGCCGAGAGGGTACCAAGCAAGCAAGACCCGTGAGTCACGCGACACCGAATACGAAGACACGAGCCGCCACAGACTCGTCCGGGGTGCGGGGAGCCGCGCTTGTTTGGATGAGTTGACACAGTGCGCTTACTGCTACTAGGCTGACGGGTCGGCTCTCGAGGGCATCATTGAGCAGCGCATGTACATCTGCGACGGGGCGAAGGACGGCCGCCGCAGGTGTTGCTGCGCCAGTGTGCCCTCTCAGACACACTGTCCTTCCCCACAGAGAGATTCTCATCAATCACGCCTCCTCTGCTATTCCTAGGTGCTACAACGAGCTCAAGCACAGCCGGAGCGGGCGGTCGCCCACCCGCCTGAGGCTGACCTACGTGCTCCAGGGCGCGTGAGGAGCAGCGCGATCCTCACGAAGCGCAATGCACATGTGTTCTTGCATCTTGGTCGCGGCCTTCAATGATGAATGAGCGCGCGCCTGCCCGGCGAGTGCGCAACGGTGCCAGACGGAGGCAATCTCAATACATTTTGGACGCGAGCATCGCGAATTCTTTTTGAGCACGCAGTCCCGTGCCCAGTGTCCTGCGAGGGAGCTTTGTTTAAAATTCTTGGTGCATAAATTCTTTTTGGTTGCCAAAAGCACGATGATACCGAGGCGCCCGTCGACACCACGCTCCACGGCGCACGGGCGGCGACCCCGCCGCCGAGCGAGGAGAGCGGCGGTGTCGTCCTCATGGAGGGCAACGGCGGCGGCGAGGGCGGCGTAATGGCGGACGACCACAGCGCCGGCCCCCGGCTCGACGAGCCCCGCTTCCAGGTGGACGAGCACGTCATCTACACGGGCGAGCACGCGGACGCGAGCGCCGTTGTGCTCACGGTCGACTTTGAGGACACTTCCGAGTACCACACACGATCATGCTCGCGGGCCCGAGGAACGCCGGGTACCCGAGGGCAAACTGCGGCCCAAGGGGAGCGACGACGGCGAGGCCCAAGGCGCGACTCTGCGAGGCGACGCCGGCGGCGCGGGCGGGCCGCGGCCAGCGGGCGGGGGGGATGGCGCTCGCCTCTGGGAGATGGACTCGATCCGTGCCCTCAGAGAGGCCCTGTCCCTGTTCACCGCGTCCGGTGCTCACTACGCGACCGTCGGCCCGTCCGAGCGGCTCGGGGTCTGCTCGCGGAGCTTCCCGCTACTGGCCCGCGCTCTGGAGGACAAACACAACCCGCCCCTCGGCTGCGAGGACTGCCAATGGAGGGCGGCGGACTGCATGATTGCCGCGTGCACATGGCAGCTCCGCAAACTGCTGCCAGAGAGCGTCCTGATCTCACACGGGCTGCTGACCATGCGCCAGGCTTGGGACGCCAAGCGAGCCAGCGACAGGCTGCGCCGGGCAGTGGCCGACCACCTCCAGAAGCCAGAAGTGCTGAGTCGGCATCCCCGCCAGCCTTTTGCCCCGCCCGGCCAGGGGGACCCCACGACGGTGCGGAAGCTGCTGCTGTCAGTACAGAGATCCGGCTACTCGTCAGGTGCGCCTATGGACGACAAGCGCACACCCCGAGGCGCGCGCCTGCAGCCGCGCGACCCGAACGGCTGGGGCGCCACGCGCTGCTGCAAGAGCCTCTTCCACTACCGCTGCCTGCACACTTGGCTCAACGACGACAGCGAGGTCGAGACGAGTCGAGGCATGGAGCCGATAAACACGGCCTGCCCTGGCTGCCGAGGCTTCGTGTCGAAGTCGGCGTCGCGGATGCTACAATAGAGCGGCTGTGTTTTTTCGGCGACCCGCAGACACACAGATGGGTGGACGCTGGACAGATGATGACGACACGCACGAGCGACACACAGACACAAACAAGCTCACAAGACACACAGCCAGCTGGCTGCCACACACCCTGAGTCGGCGTACACATAACTCAGGGCCACATCCTCCCTGTCGCCCCCCCCAGCACTCCACGGTGCCCACAACAAGTGCGTGTCAAAAAAAAACGCTTCGTGTCTCGCGTGTCTCGCCGCTGCACCCGCTGGTCCCCCCTGGCAGCGTCGTGGTCGTGGCCACATGGAAGGGCGTCTGCGAGCATCGGATCGCTCGCTGTTGAGCACCTTCGTCCGTGCAAACATCAAGACAAAACAAGGCGTCGTGCTGCTCGCAATCGTCTGTTCTACAGTCTATGCGACATCTGCAATCACGCTCACAGCGCACACCGCACCGCCAGCGCCCATCAAAGACGCGAGCAACACGCCGAGGTGGAAACGATGGCTCCCGGGCGGCAAGCGCAACACGCCCAAGAAGCAGCGCGTGACACCAAATCCATCCCACGGCGAGAGTACAAGTGTGTACTACGGGTCCGCGCTGCTGCTCGTGGTCACCATCATCTTCGGCATCGCACGACGTCTCCTTGCGGGCTTCAGCCTGGGGCTTGTGCGCGCTTACCTGTCTGGTGACATCGTGCGGATGCTCTGGTACAACCACGCAAAAGCCGAGGGATTCTCGCTCATCAACAGCGGAGATCTGGCTGGAAAGTGGTTTCTCAGCGACGGGTCGTGGGTCAAGGAGCTGCGCCGGCTTGGCGACAAGGTGGTGCGCATCAGCGCGGATGCCGATGGTGCCGACAAGGTCTCTCAACACATGATCCTCGGCGCCGGCGGTGGCGACGAGCACTCTCGGATGCGCGAGGCCATGGAGCCATTCTTTCGCCGCCGGCTCTACGAGCCGCTCTTACCCGAGTTGGAGGCGATCGCGAGCGAGCGGCTGCGAGCGAAGCACGGGCAGCCCGCATTCGACTTGGAGGCGTACTTTGTGGCGCTCACGGTCGAGCTGCGCGTCCTCGTGCTCTTCGGCATCCGCTCCGAGGTCGCGTCCGGCGAGGTGCCCCTCAAGTGGCACCAGCTCGGCGCCGCCATCATGCACTATCTCGACAAGCCCGCGCACCGGCACGCGCTCAACGTCAACAGCCACGAGTACCGCGAGCTGACGGCGGTTGTCACGGAGATCATCGCGACGACGGACCAGCCGCTCGAAGGCTGTGCGCTGGGCTTCATGCGCGAGCTCGTGCGCAGCGGCAAGCTCTCTGGCACGGAGATGGTGAGCAACCAGGGCTCACGCACAGTGCCCGCCTCGCTACTGCACGCAACACTCACTGCCAGCCGTGCACTGTGTGTGCCACAGGTGAGCAACCTCGCCCTGTTCCTCGTCGCGCTCGCCCCCGCGGCGGTCCTCACGTGGGCCACGTGCCACATCGCCAAGCACCACCGCACGGTCGAGCCAAGGGCACGGGCCTCCCACCCGTACCTGCGGCAGTGCCTCCTCGAGACCCTCCGCCTCACGCCCGGCGTGCCGACCCTTCCCCGCCGCATCGTGCCAATGCGGCCCCCCCACGATGGGGGCCTCCACCTCAACGGCACGAGCCTCCGGCCCGGCTCCGAGCTCTTCGCCTTCCAGACGTTTGTGCACGTCAAGGCGAGCAACTGGGCGGACCCGTTCAAGTTCGACCCGTCGCGATGGGATGGCGTGGTCTCCTCTCACCCCAACGACAGCCATCGGCAGGTACTCGCTTGCCCGGCCGCCATGTCCGGCATCTTCTTCCCCTTTGGATTCGGCAGGCACCGCTGCATGGGCATGGAGCTCGCGCTGGACGAGATGACGATCGTGCTGCGCGCGCTCTACGCGGACAGCACTGTCGCCGTGCAGGGCAGCAACCCCGCGAGCAACGTCGAGGACAACCGCTGGCGCCAGCACGTCTACGGCTTCCCGGACCGGCGCGTGCGCGCCCTCTTCAAGCCGGATGACAGCCTCGACCACTGGGCCTCGCTGCGCTCGATGGTCTCGCTCAAAGCCGTCGCGTCGCCGCGGCCGGGCGCCGCGCAGACGCCTCGATGGTGAACGCGGCGTTGGCCTAAGAGGACCGGCACGCGCTGCATGAAGCATGAGGGTTGGCAATCAGCCATGAGGGCGTCTCCGGGCTGTGCGACACCCTCTGCAGACTCCCTGTAGGACGTGTGAGAGGCGCGACACCCGGCATGGGACGAGCTGAGGCATTGTGCCCAGCCGCCCGTCCCGAGGCGCTCGCGACGGGATGGAAGGGCGCTCGAAAGGCGCCTCCCGTGCGCTAAGCTGTATCGCTGTGTAGCTGTTTGTGGTGCGTGTGGGGAGATGTGGGTAGATGGGGATAGGGGAGCGTTGGACTCCGAATCGCCGTGGGACGTGAGGGTCTCTGCCTCTGCCTCTCTCTCTCTCTCTCTCTCTCTCTCTCTCTCTCTCTCTCTCTCTCTCTCTCTCTCTCTCTCTCTCTCTCTCTCTCTCTCTCTCTCTCTCTCTCTCTCTCTCTTTGTGTGTGTGCGTGTGCGTGTGCGTGTGTGTGTGCGCGCGTGTGTGTGTGTGTGTGTGTGTGTGTGTGTGTGTGTGTGTGTGTGTGTGTGTGTGTGTGTGTGTGTGTGTGTGTGTGTGTGTGTGTGTGTGTGTGTGTGTGTGTGCGCGCGTGCGTGCGTGTGTGTGTCGCGGTGTGATAGTGTTCTTAGGAATCCCCGCACAATGCTTAAACTCCTCATAGAGGCCTTGCGCGGCCAAGAGAGCAACTAAATAGCGGAAATGGCCTATGTAGAGCGCGTAGAGGTAGCCGCCCTGGATCCAGTCGCCAAAGGTGGCCAGCGAGTAGGCCACCAGGTACCGGTTGCGCAGCCTCCGGTACACCGTCGTGTCGCCTCGGCTCGACGGCACCGGCTTGCCCTCGACCACTGGCTCGACGAGCCTCTCAGACGAGACCGCCTTGGTAACATCCAAAATAGGCCGTCAGGACTCTGTCAGGACTCCGTCAGGACTCTGTCAGGACTCTGTCAGGACTCTGTCAGGACTCCGCCAGGACTCCGCCAGGACAACCACTGCCCCCCCGCTGTGAACAGAGCCCTTAGCTAGAGAGTAGGGAGGGGTGTACAGTCGAGTTACTCCCGAGGGCAGGGACGGCCCTCCACTGAGGGAAAGGGCGCAACGGGGACGGTATGCTCACAACCCAGCCACGCAGCTCTTTGCTCGCGTACAGCCAACGAGTTTGCTGGTCCACAGGCAGGCCAGGCCGTGAGCGTGGGCCGGTCGGGCCTGATCCTGCGGTGAGCACTGGAGGGCTATGCGGCTCGCTCCGTCAGCCGACTTGCGCCGTCGAGCGGTCGAGCGCTTCGGGTTGGACCCGCGGGAGGGTCCCTGCGCGGCTGACATGGCCAGCCAAGCCGTGTGCGCTGCTGTGTGTGTGGGCGTTGTCGTGGGTGCTGTCGTGGGTGCTGCCGTGGGCGCTGCTGTGGGCGCTGCCGTGGGCGCTGCCTCGGTCAGCAGTCGGTCAGCAGTCGGTCAGCAGTCGGTCCGCTGCTTGGCGCTGGCCTGCAGGCCGCCGGTGGCAAATCGGGGGGGCGCGGGCCATGGACGTCGTGGCCGAGCTTTGCTGCCTTCTTGCACGTTGCCGGCTGTAACGTTGCCTGCACCATGGCCGCGCCTCTCTTGCTTGTGCGCTTTCATGGTCGAGCCGAGTGGCGCGAGAGTGAGTGTGATTTCTTTTGTCTGTCAGGACTCTAAGTTTCTGTCAGGACTCTCAAGTTTCTGTCAGGACTCTCAAGTTTGCGTCAGGACTGCCCCATCAGGACGATTCCGCAGAGGGCGCGCACGGTCGAAAGGGGGGCTGGGCGTCTATCATTCACTGCTGGGGGGGAGGGGAAGGAGGGTTGCAGTGAAGGAAGGTGGAGGTCTCGTCGGAGGCACTTGTGAGCACTGTGAAGACCGTGCGCCGTCAGGACCCCGCCAGGACTCTGTCAGGACTCTGTCAGGACTCTGTCAGGACTCTGTCAGGACTCTGTCAGGACTCTGTCAGGACTGTCAGGACAGGTGCGGGAGGTCCACAAACCAGGTTGTAGGTCAGCGTGTGGGGCTGAGTCTTAGTCGTCGGCGCTGTGCGGCCAGATCCCAGCGCAGAACCCTGCAACGCTGGCATATACAGACACAACCAGACTAACCCTGACCCTAACCCTAACCCTAACCCTAACCCTAACCCTAACCCTCTAACCCTAATAACCCTAACCTAACCCACACCCCCCAACTCCACACCGCAAATTTGAAAGATCTTGATGAAAATCAGGCCCGACTGCAAATTTCTTCAAAATTTTCGCAGGCGCTCCGCGCCTGCAGATTTTGAAATAAATTCGACAAAATTGGTACCTGGCCCAAGAAATTTACCTTACCTTACCTGCTCATAGTGTGCTCGTGGGGGTGCCGTGGCCAAGCTCGTTTTCGTTCTTTTTACAAAAGAAGGCAAGCGCCTTCCTCTCAAAAGTACGCAAGCTACAAAGAAGGCAGGCACATCGCAGGCAAGCACATATGGACATGGGCAGGCAGGCATGGCCCACTGTGAACGTCGGCCCCCACCACAGCCTCCTTACAGCTTTACCCGCAACATTCGTTTTCTGGGCGACCTGCTCTTCGAGGTGCTCGTAGAGGAGAGCCACCGCGTCCGGCGAGACGCCTCCGTGCGTTCGTGGATCATCCTATGGTCGGTCCGGGTCTGCCCCCGCAGGACCCGGAGGGTCCCCCGCAGGGTCTGTAATAGATCGGCGCCCACGAGGGGGGGGCAGCCGCCAAGTGCGTGGTGGGCTTGCATCTCCCCCTCGACGGGTCGTTTGCGGCCCATTCTCCGGTGCACGGCATGCAGCCATACGCTCCGACGAAGAAATTGCCAGTGCCCATGGGCCACGGCTGCGTGTTGTAGCACTGCTGATCGCTGTGGCACCAGGCAGCGTTGCCATTTGTGCAGTCGAAGCCGTTGTAGTCGATGGTGCCCTGTCCCGGAGTTCTGCAAGTGCAAGTGTAGTGAGCCGTGTCCACGCGGCAGCTTAAGCTCAGGCTATCCGCAGGAATCTTGTACAGCTCCGCCACAATCCCGGCGAGTAGCGGCCCAGCCTTCTGGCACTCGCCCGCATTTCCAAGTCCGAGGGCGGCACGGGCGCCAGCACACCCACCGTGGGAGGCGACCAACCCGTCCACCGCCCCTTTTGCATCACTCTCGTGTCCGCACATGCCCGGCGTTTCGACGTCGCACGTACATCCGCACATTGGGAAAGAGCAATAGCTTGTTACCTTGGCCTCCACGGCTGTGAGCCTCTCGTCAAGGTCGACTGAGGTCGGCATGGTGCCCATCGCGGACGCTCTGGCGCCCAACGCGGCAAGGCAGCACGCAGCGAGAAACCGCATTGTGTATACGTGTGTAGAGCACGCAAGGCGCGAGACACGCGAAAAAGCGACGGCGGGCGCTTGGGTCTAAGATTAGTTTTTTTGCAGTTTTAGGTGTGTTAGATTAGTGCGGTGTGAACAGCGCACAGCGCCATAGGAGGTATTTTCTTCTCATAACGAGGCCTGTGAAGTGTTTAGCGCGAATTCAGTTAAAGATAGACAGGAATAAACACAACTTGGCGCAAATTCGCGCAAAATTCAAATTTACGCGAGTTCACTGACTGCCAGACAGATTTGCGAGTGCGTCTTTTCTGCTGCAGCCTCCAGTCGCGGTGCGGCCTCCGCCCTCTCGGCGTTTGCCTCTCGCCCTGCTGCAGCATCCGTGCCCATATCTGGCAGCTGTTCGCCGAGCGCCTCTTCAAAGCATGCGAGGATCTCGTCGCTCTCAAGGGCAGTCTCGAGCCCGTCGTCAGCAGCGCGGATGCTCGCCAGCACGGCCCGCTGTCGGTCGCGGTCTCGTCTTAGTTCTAGCAGCGTCGGCGCCGACCTCCTCCCACGCTGGCCGCGCATCATGCTGCGCTTCGCGAGCAATCGCGTAACGGGAGGCTGGCCGGCTTTTTGTGGCTTTTTGGACGGCTTTTTGGCTTTTCGCTCTCTCGCTCTCTCGCTCTCTCGCTCTCTCGCTCTCTACTCGCTCTCTCACTCTCTCTCGCTCTCTCGCACTCTCGCTCACTACTCGCTCACTCGCTCACTCGCTCACTACTCGCTCACTCGCTCTCTCGCTCTCTACTCGCTCACTCGCTCTCTCGCTCACTACTCGCTCACTCGCTCACTCGCTCACTCGCTCACTCGCTCACCTTGTCTAGCTCGGAGAGAGCAGGGGGATGGGGCGGGAGCCAGGGGACAGCACAATGCCAACTTCACATGGTAGGCGATTCGACACTTCAAGGCGAACTCCCCCCCCTTCACTTCCAGGCCCCGGGCCCTCCATTGGTAGGTAGCGACCCCAGGTTAAGAGCTAGGCTTCCCGACAGGGCAGGGAACCCCCAGCGCGCAGGCGGGGCCCACGGTAGCCTCGTGCAGTACGCGATACCGAGAGCTGGGGGAGAGGCGCGCCACGCCAAAGGGGTGCCCAAAGGGGTACGGGGGAGGGGGGGGAGAGTAGTAGTGTCGTGTTTTTCGCCAAAACTGTTTTTCGCCAAAACGCAAAAAAAATCAAACGTTGGACAGAACACGGGCCGCGCGGGACAGCGGGACGCCTCTCCCCTCACACCTGGACTGCGCCCGCCGTGGGCACGCACGTCAGCGGCGGCAGCGCACCAGCGAGCTCGAGCAGCGCGCGGGCCACGTCGGCCAGCAGGAAGAGCACGAATCCGACCATCACGTTGCGCGGGCCGAGCAGCCTGTCATGATTATTGTATGTAGGGGCACTGTGTTCATATCATGCGGCAGGTTGGGAGGCGCGCCTATACTGAGTAGTAAGGGTATGTAGGAGCACTACAGTTTCAGTGTTGTCATGCGGGTAAGGGGACCCACCGGTTCACGCGCGGGCCGAGCATCGTGCCTACTCACCCGGCGCGTCCGCCGTGATGCAACCTTCAAGGCAGGCGGCCGTCCACAGCGGGCGCATTGCACACCCAACACCACACCCGGCAGCGCCGTGGCGACCAGCCGCCATGGCACCTCGCCGACGTAGTCGCGAGCGTCGGGCGAGGCGGTGCCTGCGCGGCTGGCGCGCACGGCGAGCGAGACGCCTGGGCAGAGAGCGCGCGCGTATCAAACGACGGCTGCAAACAGGCTGGTGCGCGCGGCGGCCGGTGTGGACGCGGATGGCGGGAGGTATACCGGGAGACTCGAAGGGGATAAAGGGAGATACTGCCTCTCCAGAGAGAATACATCTACGGCGAGATGCCCGAGAGCCAGCCGACAAAGGTAACCGAGGTGATGGCCGCGCTGCGCACGTGCTCGCGCCTAACTCTCGGGCAGCCATGGCTCCTCTCGGCTCGTCTCGGCTCGTCTCGGGCTCCTCTCGTGTCCTCTTGGATGATCTCGGATCAGCTCCGACCAGCTAGGATCACCTCGGATCATCTAGAATCACTAGGAGCATCTCAGCTAGGATCATCTCGGATCATCTCACGCCGGATCACCTCGGATCACCTCGGACGCGGGCACGCGAGGCGATCTCGGCCGATCTCGGCTCGAATCTCGGCCGATCTCGCGCATTCTAGGGCAGTCTCGGGCAATCCGCGCCTGCCGAGGGCGCCCGAAGCGAGCAGCACGAACAGGACCTTCTCCACTGAGATGCCGATGTAGCCCGTCAGCAGCCCTCCTGGGAGCATGGACGCCCACGCCACGAGCACACGCCGGGCGCGTGCGGCGCGGGCGGCGCGTCGTGCGGCGGCGGCCGAGCCGTCGCAGGCGAGCAGCTTCGGCACCTGCCCCCGCGACCGCCCGAGATGAGCCGAGATGCGCCGAGGTGAGGCGCCGCTGGCGAGCCCGCCTCCACAGCGCCCGCCTCCACATCGCCCCCTTCCACGTCGCCTTCTCCCGCGCCTCGCGCATCGCCCTTGGAGCGGAACACCTGCGACGTGTCCCCATATTTCGACGAGCCGGTGGTGGACGAGGTGCGCGTCCCTAGGGGTGCGGCGCACCTCCACCCGCCCCAGCTGGTCCTCGACGCACCCGCGCCGCCACGCGCGCACGAGCTCTACGTGGTCCGTGAGCGGCCGCTCGAGCCCCTGGAGAGGTAGGGGTGGGGGTGAGGGCTCGGGCGGGGTCTGGTGGGGGTGATGTGATATGTGTGCCTTCTTGCTGGCCGGCGGCGGCGACGGCGGCGGCGACGGCGGCGGCGGCGGCGGCGCCACGACCGAACTCGCCGCCGCTTCGGAGACGGTGAGGTCCGCGCGCTCGCGCCACGTGTTGGCCGCGCCTCCGGCCGCTCCACAGGAGGGGCTGTCCGTCTGCAGACGCGAAGTGAGAAGGCCGTGGGTGGTGTAGACGGCGAGGGCGGCGCAGAAGGTTGTGAAGATGTAGATGACGACCTCGTCGGACGGGAGCGTGAGCGGGTAAAGCGCGAGCAGGAGGCCGAGTAGCGCGGGAGGTGCGCAGAGCGGGAGAGTGGAGAGGCAAAACGTGGATGGGTCGGTGACGAGCCAGGTGAGAGGCGTGAGCACGCCGACGCCGATGAACTGCGTGGCGGTCGAGAAGGCGACCGCGTCGCGAGGGCACACGTGCATCATGCGGAGCATTGGAAGGAAGATGATGCCTCCCGCGACGGGAGCGCCGGCGCCGGGAATGCAAGCGGCGACCAGCCCTAGCAGCGGCATCGGCCAGAGAGGCGCGAGCTGCTGGAGCGGGTAGAGTGCGAACGGCAGAGCGGTGGTCGCGACAAGGAGGAAGCTGCGAGCGACGAACCAGATGCGGGCGAGACCGGGGCGCACGCAGGCGGGCCCGGCCATGGATCGGGTGAGTCCGGGGCGCACGCAGGCGGCCATGCTTCCCGATCCTTGCGTCACGGCCCTTGGATGAGCGATTCACCAGCTGAAGTCCGCGGGCAGCTTGATTTCTTTTTGCCGTAGCGAGGATGTTCTTCACCTTTCTACCTACCTACCTGCAGACAGTAGACAAAAAGAAAAGAGAACAGATACTGCTAACGTGCTAGCCCCAGAGCACTAGCGATCTTTGTAAGAGCACTATCGTCGCTAGAAAGTGATACACATTGTTATGGGTGAGAACGGAGTTCTCTGGGTAAGCTCAGCTGTGAACTTCCCAGTTGTTTGCTCTTGCTTGCGCGTGGCCCTTGCGTGCACGCCCAAGCTCGAGCGGCATCACGCAGAGCGAGCTCTGCGCAGGTCCCGCGACCTTCTCGGGCAGGAGCCCACCTCTCCTTCCCTCCGTGCGCCCAACGATATCTGGGCAAATCCGCGCCGAAGCGCGCTCCGACGCTGACCAAGACGAACGGCCCGCAGAGGCAAAGGATGGCTCTGGGCAGGAGCCCCCCCTCTCGGGGGCTGGCGGGGGCACCGACGGGGCCCCAGCCGCGCCTCCCGCTCCCGTGGACTCGGCCGAGGAGCTGCGAGTGCTTCGCAAGCAGCTCGAGCGGCTCGAGGCTCAAGCCGCACAGCCCGCCGCACAGCCCGACGGGGGAGACCCCCCACCGGGCGGCGGCGGTGGCGGCGGCGACGGCGGCGGAGCGGGCGGCAAGGCGGCCAAGGACCGCGAGCGGGTGCGCCCCGAAGAGCAGTCGAGTGCCGCCGGGTGCCACCGACCGGGTGCCGCCCTGCCGTCATTCATCATGCGAGCCGCCTATGCCGACGCCCACCGCCCTGGCCTAACACTACTATTGTAGGCTCCGGCCTGCGGCTGCACGTTGGCCGCCATTTGAATGGAGGAAAGGGCCGCCTCTGGCGCCGACGTCCTCTCGTGAGGACCTCTGTCTCGCCTGTGAGGACCTCTCTCTCGTGAGGACTTCACATCGATGTGGACCCTGCCTCGGCCTCGATCAGCGAGCCCCCCGGCCGCATCCCCACGCCTCAGACCACGGTTGGCACCGGTTGAGGGCGGCCTGTCCCCCCCCCCCCCCCACACTATGGCTCTCACCACACCATGAACGGTGCAGAGGTCAGAGGTCCTCATTAGTAGAGGTCCTCAAAAAGGCAACAAACCACGCCTTGGCTTCCTCTCTCACAAACGATTGCCACAAGAGAGTATCCGAGAGGCTCGTCACGCCAAACCATCAAATCTCTCTCTCTCTCCAAACCAGACGCACCCTTGGCCATTCTGCCCTGCGGATCGCGAGCAAGCGAGTACGGCGAGTACGGCCGCTCAGCGGAAGCAGCACCAACCAACAAATTGTCGTTCAAAAAAAAGTGGTACGCAGAATCACTTCGGTGCGTGTTGGATATACAGTATCTGTCGGGCTTGCTTGTGAGTTTCGTCTTGCGTGTCCTCCTTGCTGGCACCTGTCTCCCAGCCTGCTTCTTGATCCAAACTGACACGTGAAGATTGCGGGAAGTTATTTTCTGAATTCTTTTCTTTCGCAAGCCAGTCGCCCACGAAATTCTTTTCTCTCGGCGGCTTGCTCTCCAGGCCACCAAACGCTCGGCAGCGATCGATCTGGCGCCGGAGCGGCGGCGAGGCACACGGGCGCCGGCGTGGCGCGGCGGCAGGTCCACCACGAGCGGATGCCGCGACGAGCGCGCTCGGGAAGCGGCCGCGGGCGACGCTATGAGCTCTTCTTCTCACCTCGGCCGCCGCATCGCTCGCAATGGCGGCTCGGACTCGTCGGTGGTGCTGACCGTCGCGCCGTGGCAACCCACCGGTCCGGCCGGCCGCGAAGGCGCCGACCGGTGATCGCCACCGCGCCCCGCCTCGGAACGCCGTTTCCGCTTGGCGTCCGAGGCGCTCGGCGTTCCCGCTGGAGCGCGAGATCGGACCGGGTCGGACGCTCCTTTTCTCGCCGTAGGCACGGCTGGCCGGCTCGAGCAGCGGAAAAACAAAAATCGAATACGTCAATCCTCTCCGGCCAGCCTCGGGCTAATTAAAGCCGCAAAAAATCGGAAGGTTCCGCCGCCCCGGATTCCACCTCCCTGGCCCTCCACGCCCCGCGCGCGCGTCCGTATCACCGCCGCAGTCGGCCTCCCCGCCCCGCGCGCTGTAGGAGCGGCGCCCACCCACCGGAGACGCCTTCCCCTAGACCGCCCGACCACCCCACCCCCTTCGGCAGGTGCCTCGCACGTATTTCGAGCGCGAGAGGCCTCCTTTGAGGTGGCGGCCGGCCGCCGCGTCGCGCGGTGAGGCGGCATGAGGCCGTCCCCCCTTCGCGTTCGAAGGCGGGCCGGCCACGGCACCGGCTGTCGCGGCTCGAGGGCGGCAGGCGAGCCGCCCCCCCCTCCTCCCTCCCTCCGCCCCTTCCTCGCTTCCCCGCAGCGCTGCCCACGGCACCATCTCCTGGTGCCCCGCTGCCGCCCCACCCGCCGCGCCGCCCGCCGCCGATGGCCCGGCCGCCACCGCCACCGTCGGCGGCCGCCTCCCGCCCACCCGCACCGCCGCCCCGGCCACTGCCACCCGCGCCGCCGCCTCGCCCAACGCCGCCGCCGGCCCACCCTCCCGCCCGTCGCCGCTGCCGCCGCGCCGCCGCTGCCGCCCTCCGGGCCGCCTCCGGCCCCGCCACCTGCCTCGCCGCCGCCCACGCGACTGGCCTCGCCGCCGCCACCGCCACCGCCCTCCCCACCGTCCTCCCCTCCGCTCTCACCGCCGCCGACGCGCCGCCACGCCGCCTCGGCCTCCGCCCTCGACGAGCCGTCGCCACCGCCCTTCTCGCCGCCTCTGCCGCCCATGCCGCCTTGGGTGCCCCCTATTCCGTGGCCCTCGCCACCGCCGCCGCCGTCGCCGCCCCCGCCGCCACCGCTACCGCCGCCTCCCGCCCCGCCACCCCCTCCGACACCGTCACCCCCCCTCCCTCACACCATCCCGGCCGGCCTCCTCCGTTCTAGCCCCAACTCCCACACACCACCACCGACCTCCCCGCGCCCCCACACGCCGGCCCCGCGCACCCACGCCACCACCATCGCCCACGTCGCCCTCCCGGCCCCCCACCCCGCGCCCCAGGCTCTTCATAGCTCCGCTCGGGGCGTCCTGGCGCCGCCTCCCCAACCGCCGGCATAGCCCTTCCAGCGCCGGCCGGGGGCTGCGGCGGCGCGCGGCGCGCGGCGGGCAAGCTGCCTGCTGGCGGGCGGCGCTTCTAGTCGTGATTTTAGTGCCGCGTAGGTCGCCCTTCGGCCACTTCTCGGGCGTGCGGCCGCAGCGCGGCGAGAAGGCGGCGCGCTCGGCCCGCTGGCGGAGGTGAAGCCCCCCAGAGCGGAAGCTGGCGGGCCGGGGGCGTCGGGCGGGTGCGCGGCGGCACCCGTGCCACCGGGACGGGCCGTGGTGGCCCGTGTGGCGGCCGTGAAGGGCCGTTTGGTGCGCCCCGGCGGCCTCCTGCACGGCGGCCGCCGGGGCCGGTTTGGACTGTGTTTGGGGGGGTGGAGGGGTCCGGTGGCCGGTGTGATGGTCGTTTGTCACCCTCCTATCACCCACTTACCGCCCCCGGCCGTGGGGGCCTCTCCAGACGCCGCCATTTATGATTTCAAAGGGTCCTGCCGACGCTCATCACAGTGCGGCGGAGGGGCCGGAGCCGGCGCCGCGGAGGACGAGGATGGCCGTGGCGGACCGGGACGAGCTCTGGGAGGTTCAGTGTCAGTGAGTATATTGTAGAGGTCACCCATGCGCACAATATCTTGATTGAGAGCTAAGCCAGGGGAGGCGATGCCGGGGCCGTACAGCAGCTTGATGATGCTGCGCCGGCGTGCGTCCCGCCGGCCGCCGGGGCCGGTTTGGACTGTGTTTGGGGGGGGGAGGGGTCCGGTGGCCGGTGTGATGGTCGTTTATGGCCCTCCTATCACCCACTTACCACCCCCGGCCGTGGGGACCTCACCGGACGCCGCCATTCATGATTTCAAAGGGTCCTGCCGTCGCTCAGTCCGAATCACAGTGGGGCGGAGCGCCTACCCTGGGAGTGTGCGCTCTCGCATCTTGCGAATCAGGGAGAAGCCACGCCGCTCGCATTTTTTGTCGACGCCTCATCGGCACGCTGCGCACGTAAAGAGAGGCCACGCAAGGGCGCACAGCTCGCGAAGCAACAAGCTAAGCCGCGCCTCTCTCTTTACACCACGCGGCGTATCGTGCCGGTGTATTCGCAGAATTATGTCGGAACTAAGGTTGCCTACTACATGCTATGGTAGGTGCTGTTTGCGGACCCTCGCAAGGCGGTGATCCACACACAGCCTCACCGACGCGCAGACCATGTTCCTCTGGCAGGACGACTCCTATATTAGCACCCGCGCGCCTGCCCGGGGCAACCTCGGCCACTCCCTCAATCTGCAGGTGCGCCGTCGCGAATTTGCTTGAAGCGCTCTCTGGCGTGCGCCTTGGTAGCAAATAACTGTCCGCCGATGGCAACTGTCTTGGCCTCGTGCAGTATCCTCCTGGGCTTCAGCTGCGGCGTGCCTCCGACAGCAGGCCGCTTGCGGCTCGTCTCTGGATTTGCGTTCTGCGTCTGAGCGGCGGGCGGCATGCTGGGCGGCTCGCTCGCCGTCGTGGGCTCGTGGCTGCACGTGATTTGTTTGAGCGCTCATTGGCCACCCGCCCGGTTTTATCAATCCCCTGGAGGCCGTCGGCGCCGGTGTTGGCTTTTGCACACGGCGCGGCGGAATAAAAAAATTAATTCAAGGCGTCTGTCGCCTTGTCACTTAGATCGAATGTGTATCGCGCGCCTTGCGGGGGGGGCGCGGAAAAGAGGAACCTCTTAGCGCCCTCGCCATGGTGCTGCAAGCAGCGCCGGGCGACGACGACTTACCGCCTCCCGGTCCCCCTCGGCACACCTCCGCTGCTCAATGTTTGACGACTCGAACCCGTGAAGCTTCCCCTCGCGCGGGATGTCTGTGGGCCCGAGAGCGATATGCCATGTCCGCCTTGCGTTTCATTACATCGAAGGCTAAGCTCTCAAAAGAATTCTTAAGATACAAGCCTCTCTCACAGCACACTGGCACGACAAGGGCGCAGACTGGCGCGGACTGGCACACACACAGGCTCACCACCGGAGCCGCCTAAGCGACTCCGTTAAGAACGGCAATGCACTCCGCACCATGCACAATGCCGCTCTCCCCGCACGCTAGCTCGTTCACCGTCTGCCACGCCACGGCGGTGTGGAGGACGACAGACAAGCGCTGCATCTGCAGCCCGTGCCAGTTCTTGGTGGTCCATGTGACCTCTCAAAAGAAAAGGCGCGCGCACCCTAGTGCAGCGACGAACGCGCACCACCGAGGTCTTGCCTCTCTCAGAGATGCTGCGCCCCGAGATAATGGAGCTCAAGTCGTCCGTCAAGACCCTCAAGCGCGACGCCGCGCTCCGGCTCAGCCTCGATGCCGAGGCGCAGCAGTCCTTTGACTTTCTCTCCGAGCAGCTGCACGGATTGCGCCGCGCCTTTTCGACGCTCTCCGACGTGTTTGTGGAGGAGGTGGACTCGCTGCGCGCGGAGCAGAAGGCACAGGCCCAGGCGCTGCGCAGTGCCCGCGCCGAAGTCCGGAGGCTAAAGGGAGAGGCAGAGGCGCGAGCCGCCGAGGGGTCGGCACACGCAGAGCGCCTCGATGGGCTCGAGGCGTGCGGTGCAGCGAGGTTTTGCGGCGTGGAGGCCGTCTGGTCAGGTCACACCGCCCGTGCGAGCAGGCGCGCGTCGAGCGGGCGAGCGGCGAGGTGCAGGCGCTCGCCCGCGACGCGGGCAAGGCCTCCTCCTCTTGCCACCTGCTCCAACTCGACCTCGTCGAGCAGCGCAGCGCGATGGACAGCCGGCTGGCGGAGCAGAGAAAGTCGCTGGACGAGGCTGCGGCGCGGCTGGGCGGCGTCTCCGAGCGGGTCGAGGCGCACGTCGTGCGCAGCAACGAGGCGCGCGAGTCGCTGTATGCGGAGGTGGCGTCGCTGCGGCAGGCGACGTCGGCGCAGCTCGGCGCGCACGCCACAGCGATGGAGCAAGCGAAGCAGAAGCTGCTGCTCCTCGCGCAAGCTGTCGAGACGCAGCACAGCGCCTCCAAGGCGCAGCAGGGGCGCGTCGACGCGCTCGCCAGCGCAGGCGAGGCGCTCAGCCATCATATCTCCCCAGATCTCCCCACATCTCCCCACATCTCGCCAGCGCGCAGGCGAGGCGTTGAGCCAGCAGCTCAGCGACAGGGCAGAGGAGGCGGCGAGGCACCGCGGCCAGGCGGCGGCGGTGTCTCGAGGAGGCAGCGGCTGCTCCTTGATCATTGCTTGAGAGCGGTGCGTGGGTGTGAAATGCTGTAGACGGCCGCTGCGCTCGAGGAAGCAACGCGCCCGCTCTCGTCGGAGGTTCGGCAGCTGCAGGCGCCGTGATCAAGTCGATCTCACCACACCTTCGCTCTCGCTCTCGCTCTCGCTCTCGCTCCCGCTCTCTCGCTCTCGCTCTCGCTCTCTCTCTCTCTCTCTCTCTCTCTCTCTCTCTCTCTCTCTCTCTCTCTCTCTCTCTCCCTCCCTCCCTCCCTCCCTCTCCCTCTCACTCCCCCCCCTCACACACACACACACACACACACACACACACACACACACACACACACACACACACACACACACACACACACACACACACACACACACACACACACACACACACACACACACACCTGCAGGCGCAGTGCCGGGCGCTCGAGGCGGCGCTGGCGGCACAGGCGAAGGCGGAGGCGCGCCACAAAAAGAGAGGTAGAGAGGCGAGGAGCAGCCGGGGGATCGGATGGGACACCAGCGCGGTCACCAGCGCGGTATGGGTGGGGACGCGGGACGGGAGATGACGGCCACACAGGAGCGGCACACAGACACACAGACACTCACAACCGACACTCCGCCAGCTGAGGCTGCCACACACCACGAGTGGGCGTACAGACACACAAACACACGAGGCGCTCGGCCAGCTGACACTACCACCCCCACAACCCGCCACCGCCGGGCGGCTAGAGACCTCGCGAGTCGGGGCCACGTGAACGGCGTCTCTTCACGCCCGCCGCGTGTATCACTCATGACCGGCCCCCCTGCGCGCGGGGCCTTCTAGGCCCGCGGGTAGTCTCCCCCCCCCCCATCCCCAGGGTCTCCAGGGCTCGCACCTCAACCTCTCACAGACCAGCGCACAGCGCCACGCGGTGAAGCGTCTTCTCAATGACACGGTCTGTGAACAGGCGCGCCGCGCCTCCCTCGAGACCTCGCGAGCCGGCGGGCTCGAGGCGGGGCTGGATCTGCTGAGGGAGCGAGAGGGCGGCTCCCTCGCCGCTTCGCGGCCTCGCGAGGGTACGCTCGGCTTAGATGCGGGGACTCGGACCTCAGATCTCCCCAGATCTCCCCAGATCTCCCCAGATCTCCCCAGATCTCCCCAGATCTCCCCAGATCTCCCCAGATCTCGCGGCCTAGATGCGGGGACACGGACCTCGTCTCTCTCCGGATCTCCCCAACCCTCGACGCTTAGATGCGGGACACACCCCTGCCACACCACCTCGTGTGCGGGGGGAGAAAAGAAATGCACCTCCCATCACCTTACCTAGGCTCGCTCAGCGCCGCCATCGATGCCCTCGCCCGCTCTCCGCCTCGCGCCGGCCCGCCCCTCGAGAGGGCCTCGCCGCCCGCGCGCCTCTCCTTCTCTCCGCCGCCGCACCCCGCCGCTGCTGCCGCCGCCGCCGCCGCCCTTGCGGCCGCGAAGAGCACCTCACGACTCGCGGCAAAGAGCCCGCCTCCGCACGCGCGCGCCACCACGCCCGCGCCCCTCGCCTCCTCCTCCGCCGCCGCCGCCTCTCCCGCCGCCTCTCCCGCCGCCTCTCCCGCCGCCTCTCCCGCCGCCTCTCCCGCCTCCGCCGCCGCTGCCACCGCCGCCGCCGCTTCCCGCGCTGCTTTCGGCGGCGGCGCCAACGGCCTCGCCGCTTGCTATGGCTCCGCAGCCCCTACGCCCGTCTGCACGCCATCTGCGCCGAGAGACGCGACGGCCGCCTCACGCGTCCGCCGCACGGCTGTGAACGGCGTCTCTTCACACACGGCGCTTGTGAACAGGCGCGGGCCGCCCTCGCTTCCGCCGCGCACGCCCTCGGATCCAGCGGCGACTGTTGGGCCTCGCCGCAGCTGTCGACGCACCGCCGCCAATAGACATTGTTTGAAGGAGTAGTACAGGTGAAACTTCTTTCCCAAGGAGGTGGCGGGGCATATGTTTCTTGCATGGCTTCTCATACGTTCTCATGAAAAGCTCACAATCGCGGAAGCTGGGGTTAGCAGCCTGCATGTGGGTCTCTGGGCTGGCGCTGGGACCCCTCTGTGCGCGGCTGAGGGTGAGGCCGCCTCGCTGGTGTCGGGTGTCGCGCTCGGTGCGACTGGTGTGTCGGCGACTGCTGCGAGAGAGAGGCCGTGCTTCTTTCCAACCAACCTAGTTGCGTTTTGCTGCTTCTGGCTTCTGCTTGGCGCGTCTGCCCCGCATGCGCATCCACCTATCCACAACGCGTCCGCGCCAGAGTGCGAGCCGTCCCTGGCGTGGCGCCTCCGCCCGGCATCCCGCCCCCCCGGACCCCAACGTAGTTACCTTCTAGCTAGCGTTGAGCACGTCGGCCAGCTGTGCCAGCGCGACGTGTCCGTAGATGAGTGAGTCGAGCCGAGTCGCGAGGTGGGACGCCTGCTGCGTGGCGCTCAGGAGGAGAGCGGAGCCAGCCGCAAACACGTCCTCGTCAACGCCGCTGGCCGGGTCCATGGCAAGCACTGCGAGCGCCACAAAGGCGATACCAAAGCTGGCGAATTGGACCGCCGCGACATGGTCTAAATACACCATCGACATGAACTTGTCGTGGAAGGCGCGCCTCCGAAAGACAAACGCAGCCTTGGCGTACGTGTCAACCATCGCGTCAACATCAGCCTCCTTGCCATCGCTGGTGCGCATGACGGCGGCGGCCTGCTCTGCCGCGAGGGAGCCGTAGCGAAGGTTCCACATCGCCTTGAGGTGTGCGAGCTCCTGCCTGGGCGCCTTGTGAAGGAAGAAGACTACACACACCAAGAGCCACGCCAGAAGCATCCCGCCGGCGAGCGAGGCCGGCCGAATATGAAAAGAATTTTGCCGTCGAAGAAAAGAAACCTGGCTGCGACTTTTTTTTGTTTTAACTACTCCGTCTGTGGCGTGACTTGCGCGCGCGCCGCGGCGCGGCGGGGCCAGCGATGTCGCGATGGTAGCTGCACGTGTCGCTGGTCTGACTTTTTTGTCGCTGGCAAATGTTCGCATCTACTGCCACTTGGTCTGTTGATCTGTCTGGGACCGGGACAAATTGCGATGTACACACATACGGTGTCGCTGCGCGCGACAGGGTCGCACCCCTACGGCTCTAACCGCGGCCGGACTAACTACCGCACCCCGGCACGGATTCACGTGGTTTTCGCAGCCAGGCGTTTCGCAGGCGTTTCACGAGGGCTTCACGAGTTTCACGACAGGGGTTTTGCTCGTTTCGCGGGCGTTTCGCGGGCGCTCAGGCGCTACATACTTTAAATATCTGACTTCGTTTAATAATAAACAAAGAAACTCAATCGTTTCCGCAAGGGGAGAAGCCGGGGGGCGGCGTGATAACGGTATCCCGCACCGCCAGGGCCCTATTCTACAGCCGCCGCCGCCGCGCACCTCGGCTCCGCCGCGCCCCAACGTCCCAACAAGACGTGCGTGGGTACGTGGCGGGGGGCGCTGTCGACTGCGTGCACTACTTCAGTCTCCAGCGCCGGCGGGCGCGTGGCGGGGGACAGGCCGGAGGCTTGGGCGCCGGGGGAAGGGAGTGTGGGCCACGGTCGCCCGCTCTCTCCGAGAGGAGCTCTCGCATGCTCTAAAAGGCTGGCCCCCACTCAAAACCAGCGGGCGGCGGCGTGTCGGCGGGCGGCGGCGTGTCGGCGGGCGGCGCCTCGGCCTCTGACTCTGCCTCCCGCGGCGCGGCGTCGGCCCGGGCGCCGCCACCCTGCACCTTACGCAACATCGTGATGGTCTCGATGCACTCCTGCACGACCGAGTCGGGGGTGGAGGCGCCCGAAGTGACGCCAATGCGGACGGGGCGGCCCGAGGGCAAAAAGTTGTCCGTGACGAGGATGGCGCCTGCACAACGACCGCCGGGGTGGGGACCAGCTCCTTTTACCCACCTCTACTAGTGAGGTGCGCTTTTTGTTTCTTAGTTTCTTTATTTCGCGCCGTGGACGTCGCGGTGCTCGATCGCGTTGTCCGGCCGGATGCAGGACGCCTAACCGGGGATGCATTCCTTTATTCATTCACTGTCAACAAATCGCGTGTCGTCCGGCCGGATGCAGGGTGCCTCGTTGACGTGGTAGCCGCTCAGCCCCTTCTCGTGCGGGATCTCGAGGAGGTGCGCCTTCACAAGGAGGAGAGTGATGAGCCACCAAGACACGGCACAGTAGCTGATAGACGGGATCTCTCGAGTCCGGGGTGCGCCGTGTTGGAGGAGTCCCAGCCGCCAACGACCAGGATGAAGTCAAGCTCTTTGTCGCCCGCGAGCGCCTCGTCCGACATCTCGTTGACAGCGTCCTGCCGGACCTGCGTCGCGTCGCAGATGGTGTCGAAGGCGGCGAAGTGGTGCTTGACGTTCTCCGGACCATGCACCACCATCATCGTTTTCTCGAGCAGCTTGCCGATTGCCTGCGTCTCCTTCTTGTACATGGTGGTCTGGTTGGCGAGCCCAATCTTCTTGAGGTGCTTGCGCGGGTCAAAGTGCGGCGAGGCGGCCTTGCGGTACTTGTCCATGAACTCCTCGTCTGTGAGGCAGCCTGGCTCGCCGAGGATGTAGGAGGCGACCTACTCAGCCACGGCTCCTCACGATTCAGTCGGCGGAACAAGAGTCCACCAGCCCCTCGTCGAGGATGTAGGGGGCGACCTCTTGCGCCTGCGCCATGTCCTTGATGATGAGGTACGTCTCGCACATCGACGCCGTGGCGATGGCCTCCTCGTGCTGGTACTTTCCGTGGATCAGGGACGTCATCTCGGACAGCTGGTGCTTGTCGACGGTGGTCCACACCTTTTGAGGTGTCGCGGGCAGCGGGTGGCGGGCGGAGAGAGAGCCGAGAGAGAGAGAGAGAGAGAGAGAGAGAGAGAGAGAGAGAGAGAGAGAGAGAGAGAGAGCCGAGAGAGACAGAGAGAGAGAGAGAGCCGAGAGAGGGAGCAAGCCACCTTTGAGACCCACGGGCAAGTCGTGTCGACGGTTGTGACCCCCTTCGCGTCCAGCAGCGACATCTCCTCAAGCGAGGCGCCAAACGCGGGCAGGATGACCTGCAGACATGTCTCGGGACGTGTCGCGGACGCGTCACAAGCTCCTCGAGCAGCGAGGCGCCATAGGCGGGCAGCAGGACCACGTCGCCCTCGCCGACGTCGTCGAAGCGCTTGCCGCCCTCCAAGGCGGCGTCCTACATTCACACGTAGTGTCCATTCATCAACCACCCTTTTCCGCTTGCCCCCCCCCCCCCCCCGAGTCGGCCGTCCTTCTCCATGAACTCGATGTCCATCCCCTTGAGCAGGTCGTTGACGCCAGGGTTGTGGATGAGCTCGTTGGTGATGTGCATGCGCTTGTCCGGGTAGGCCTTAAGGCGAGATGGCAGCCGAGGTGGTAGCCGAGGTACAGCCGTGCAGCCGAGATACAGCCGAGGTACAGCCGAGGTACGGTCGAGGTGCAGCCGAGATTCGATCGAGGTACGGCCGAGATCTCGTGTAGCAAGAGGCGAGGTCCAGCCGAGCTCGATCATCAATCATCGGTGGAGTGGACAACTACTCGCCTCGCGAGCGGCCCACGCGAGCTCGATCGAGCGCTCGACGCCCCAGCAGAAGCCGTACTCCTTTGCGAGCACAAAGGTGAGGTCCGTCCCCTCGACACAGAGCTCTCGGAAGGTGTCCGCCTACAGGACAGGTCTCGGACATGTCGTGGACGTGTCCTGGTCATGTCCCCTCGACACAGAGCTCTCGGAAGGTGTCCGCCTACAGGACAGGTCTCGGACATGTGATGGACGTGTCCTGGTCATGTGCCCTCGACACAGAGCTCGCGATAGGGGCCCGCCTTCATCTCCTCGATCAGCTCGCCCGCGAATCGCTCGCTCATCTTCTCGCGCACCTGCCCGCCGATACGGAGAGCTGTGTGCACGTGCGTGCGTGCGTGCGTGGCTGCGGCTTGTGTGCGTATGTGAGTGTGTGTGCGCGCGCGTGAGCGGTGAGCGCGCTACTCGCTTTGGCTGCGTGGGTACCCACCTCTCCGTGGATGCTGAGATCGAACGGGTTGCCCCCGCGTTTGTACCGCTTCTGCTTCATGATCTTGTTGCGTTTGTTCTTCTTCGTGTCTCGCTCGTTCGGCCTCACGCCTAATCGCGTCTCACATGCAAGCCAGTCACAGGCCGTGGCGCCAGACGAGGTGACGCGGCGGCGGCGGAGGGAGGCGGCCCACCCTCGTACTTGGACGCCAGTCCAGGCCGCTCGTTTCTCGTCGGGTTCTTGGCTCGTGCCTCGTCTGCCGTCGGCGCCTTGACCTTGTGGTAATCCATCGCCGGGAGGCACCGGCGCACGCCGCGCGTCTGATGAGAGCGGAGCGGGGCGACGCGGAGTGCGGACACCGAAACCAGCAGGAGAAGCAGCGAGACGAATATGATCATTGTGCTTTGGGTTCGACGGTGTCCAGCCGGTACCGAGGGAGGTTTGTTTCTTTTTGAACGCCGCGTGCACGCAGAGTGCCCAGGCGGTCCCTTGTCGGCGATAAACGCGACACGGTTCCGCGCCGCGCGCACGCTATTGCCCCGCCTAGGTGGGAAAGAGATGAGGAGATGGGACAGCGAATGAGAAGAATAGAAACAGGAAGGGAGGTTAAGTAGTGCGTCACCCCGGCTTCCCCTGCGAGGCAAAGGTGACGGCTTTTTCCTCTTCGCCGCAGCGAAATTCTTTTCGTGTCGATTTTGTTGGTACCGCCTGGGCACTCTGCGTGCTCGAGCCACAGTTCTCCTTCAGCCCACATGCATCTTCTCCTCCTCGGTTTCGCTCCCCTCACCCTCATCCCGCACACACCTACACCGCCTTCACCGGGCATAGCGCATCGGCTAGCTCCGGGCGGCATGCCACGGCGAGCTACACCGGCCCCGGGCATCGCGCGGCGAAGCACCCGCATGTGCATCAACTGCTGGCACACGTCGGACGATCGCCACCTCTCGCTGCTCCCCTTCTCGGCCGGCGACGCCATGCTTCCAGGCGAGAAGCGGACGCTGCTGCTGCGCGACCGCAAGGAGATACGCCTGCTCGAGCGCGCCTGCAAAGCGGATCACATGATATTCGGCCAGCTCCTCCTCTACTCGAACTTCTTCGAGGACGGCCGGGAGGCTTGCGTGCCCAGCGCGTGCGTCCCGCTCCTCCAAGTCTGCGAGATTCGAGAGCCTCGCGACGCTGGAGGCGTGGAGGGCGCCATATGGACCGCCGTCAAGTGCGTCGGCCGGGCGCGACTCGAGACGGAGCCGCGGGTGCAGCCGCGAGGCTTCCTCCTATCCCAGGCGTCCGCCGTCCCCGACTCGTGGCGGGCCGGCGGCTGTCAGGCTGGCGGCGGGCCGGCCGAGGATGACTGCGGCCTAGTCGCTGCGCAGGCGGAGGCGGCGCTGCTGGAGGTCCGCTCGCTTCAGGACACGTGCCGCTTGCTCGAGCGCGAGTTGCAGGCGATCTGCGGGTCCGCGCCGCCACCGGGTGGGTCGGAGGCGCGGGGCGCGGAAGAGGGACGGCTCGGCTCGACCTCGCTGCTCAGCTCGACCTCGCTGCTCGGCTACGGCGACGCGTCCCGCTACACTCGCGCACCGCTTGGATCGAGGCTCGACACAGAGGCGCGTCGAGAGAGGTAGCCGAGGTGTAGCCGAGGTGTAGCCGAGGTGCAGCCGAGGTGTCGCCGAGGTGCAGCCGAGGTGTAGCCGAGGTGTAGCCGAGGTGTCGCCGAGGTGCAGCCGAGGTGCAGCCGAGGTGTACCGAGGTGTAGCCGAGGTGTCGTCGAGGTGTAGCCGAGGTGTGGCAAGCAGCATGTCTCCTCCGAGCCTCGGTCTCCACCACGCCGGTACACAACCCCTCCACCGCGTCCGCCTTGACACCCAACCGTTGACACCCAACCCCCGGACGCCGGAAGGTTAGCGAGCGGCGAGCCGTGCTGCTGCAGAACGGGCTCGACGAGGCGCCCTCGGCGTTGCTGCGCAAGCTGCACGGCGCGTGGGGCGCGCGCAGTGAGCGGGAGGCGCAAGTTCAACTCGCATCGTGGGCGGGCTTCGCGTGGCTGAGCGGAGAGGAGCGGCTGAGCGCGCTGCGGTCGCGCTCGCCGGTCGAGCGGCTACAGTGGGCGCGGGCGGGGCTGGCCAAGGTGAGGCAGCGGCTGGCGACGGAGCTGGCGCTGCAGCGGGTGATTGCTAAGTAGGACGCCCCTCGCCGACCGGGACGCGGGAGCGTTGCATAGTGTCGTCGTGTGTAAATAAATAAAAAACATTTCTACTGTGGGTAAAAAGGAACAGCAGGGTCCGCCCGCCCCCGGGCGTGCGATCGCTTTGTGCAGGGTTCTTTGTCGTGTCGAGCGTGTGCGGGCGCACACCTCGTAATTTTTGCGGTTCATCTCCCCCCGCCTGTGGCCTGTGGCGCCATCTCTGTACGTACACTTTATAGCACTAAAGCTCTATTGGTATTTGGTTTACGCTCGCGGGGAGTCTCGGGAGACGACCGGCAACGGCAACCGGAAAACTCCGCGCCGGCCGCCGCGAGACCGAGAGCCCCGAGAGCTCCGGCGAGAGGGGAGAGGCGACTGAGAGGAGGGGGCTGCGCCTGCGGGGCAGATACGAGATAGCCAGGAGATAGCCCCAGGGCGTAGGGGCTTGTCCCTTGATCCCCTTGAAGTAGAGTGTTGTACTCTCGCGCCTCTCAAGGACAACGTACAAAATAAGACAGTACTCTCCACGAGCCGTTCGCGACTCTCCAGATCCCCCCGTCGGTACTAGGAGCTACTAGAGGACATACATCAGTATCGCCCAAGCCCATGCGCCATGCACCGTCCACCGAAGGTCTCTACTTTATAATCACCGCGTAATATCTAATCAGCAAGAACCCGGGGGCGGGGAGTCATATGCTCTTCCGCCTGTCCTCGAGGTCAAGCTCGAGCTGCACCGCCGCCATGCGGCCGACCAGCTGCTCGACCACGTCGCACCACGCCTCGAGGTCCTCGAGCATCTCGAGCTGGGTGGGCGCCAGGCGAGGGAACTCCTGAGGCACCGCGCGCAGCGCGAGCGACATCGAGTTTTGGCTGAGCCAGCCGTTGAACGGCTGCAGCGTCGCCGCGTACCCCCTCTCCACCTAGATCGAGGTACAGCCGCTCGTCAGAGCCCGTCCTTTGAGCACCGCGTCGCCGCATATCCCCCCCCCCCCCCCCCTTCCACACCAGCTCCTTGAGCGAGACGTCCCCCGTCGGACTGCCTGCAGGGGGGTGCGGTGGTGGTGGTGGTGGTGGTGGTGGTGGTGGTGGACAAGCGATCGCCAATTCCCCCCATCAAGCACCGACCAAATTGTGTCATAGAAGCTCTTCTTCGTCTTGGGGAAGGCAAAGTCGAGCACGTTGTTCTCCACGACGTGAATCGCATACGCGTTTGCAATTCTCCCGACAATGTCGCGGTATATGCCAGCGGTGATGGAGATGCGCTCGAACACGGGTGCAAGGCATTGGTACGGGAACTGAAGTCCGGCTTGTACACCGGACTGGACGGCGCACTGCCGGACTTCACCAGAGCCTCCACTCTGCTCTGCTGCCTCCAAAGTGCGCTTCTTCGAAGCAGAAATCTTCCTTACCATCAACGCATCGATCTGGTAGTTGGGTCAGTTGTTGTGGTATCGAACCCCGTCTGGGTGCTGTACCTACTATAAGAATGGGGGCATCAATTTGATTCCTAGAGGCGAGAATGTGATGTGTTATGATGGCGACTTACTTCCTCCTCTGTGTTATATGGGTTAATGAAGTGAGCGAATATAGTGTATATTTGGGCGCCTTGTAGTTGGGTAGCTTAAAGAGAGACGGGGGGGGGGGGTTCCGCAGCAGCGGAGGAACGACACAGCTCATGGCGCCCAAGCGCGGGCCGCCCAACCGGGCCAACCAACAGCAGAAGTACGACCGCTCGCAGGGGCAGGCCATGGGGCAGGCCCGCCGCGAGGCGCGCAAGGCCGCAAAGACCGGCGAGGGCTCCTCGAGCGCCCACAGCGCCCAGGGGCCATAGAGGGAGAGCGCCCATCCCCTCGACAGAGGAGGAAGGGAGCAGAAAAGGGGGAGGGCTTGCTATCTACGTCCCGAGTCGGGCGCATGTACAGTTTCGAGTTGTGCGAGAGGATCCGCGCCTTGGGAAAGCGTGTGGTACACTTGTCACTATTGTACGTTATCTCCAAGAGACCAGCATGGGGCGCCTTTCTCGCCATTGCCGTCACTGCTGCCCCTAGCGAAGGAGAAGAAGCATACCTCCGCCGAGACTACTCACCATCATCGGAACCTCGGCGGACACGCCTGAGGTCCACAACGCACTTCATCTACACATGTGGAACCAAATAATAGTCTCCTTCTACGAAGAAGAAGACATCAAACCCGAACAAACCTGGAAGGCGTTCTTGAACCTATTAGTGAGAAACATGCAAGCGTACTCGGGGGAGGCCAGAACTAGGCTCCGACGAATAAGACGCAAGAGCGACCGAGTCAGCGATTCGACCATGAAAGAAATAAGCGAACCCATGGGGACGATTGATTACTACGGCAGACTACGACTGAGCAGGCGAGTGAATGAAGAACTAAGGAGAGTGGGACTCGACCACCTCACCACAGAAGAGGCGACGACTCACGCACGAGAGATCAAGTTTGTCAAGGCCTCACAAGCTAGCACAACAAACACCTAAAGACTTAAAGGCATCACACTACAAGGAACGCGGCTGAGCTGACTCCCTGTAGGGGGCGCCTCGGTGAACCAGGGACTAGGATCTCGCGCAGACGACACAGGGCGTGCTGCGCCCCGCGCGATCCCTGGCGCAGAGGAGGCTGAGCCGCCGAACTTAGGATGCCTGCAAAGGCTGGCGAAAGCCAGCGAGACACGCCCACAACTCATATCCACTACAACAAGCCATTATGCCCCATTAGGCCCCACCACCCCACCCCTAGGCAATGTAGCGCACATGTCTAGTCCGGAGAGGACGGGGGGGGGGGGGGGGTAGGGGATAGCACTGTGCCGAGTATTTTGGATTAAAGCAATTTTTTTTAAAGAGAGACGGGAGAACGTGCGGTGTAGATTGTGTCACTAATATAACAAAATCCCCTCCCCCCAATTTGACACCACAGTGGCGGAAGGTGAATTATGACGGGGTCGGTTTCTCGAGACACTCCCTAAGCGAACTTGAAGAGCTTGACGCTGAGAGGGCGTTTTTGGTTGACAGACTAACAGATGAGTTTGTGCTATCGCGGGAAGAGATGAGTGAGGTTGCTGATGCTCTTGGCGTGTAGGACAAGAGTTTTTTTTGAGTCATACAAGAAAGGCACAAGAATGCTTCGTGACATTCTGTCACACATCGTACTCTTCGTATGCTTTCTAATCTTGTGTCTAGTTGTTGATGCGAATGCCGCGAGCGGCACTGGAAGAGCGGTTCGCTTTCAACAATGTTTGCTTATAGCGTTTGCTTCATACGTATGTTTTTGGATTGCGGCTAGAGCTTTACTGCTTTACTTTGGTCTTGGTTCATCTGTTGCGTTTCCACCTAAGTTGCCTTTTGAAGAGGTGTTATCCGCTCCAAAGCCGGCGATGGTGCCAGCGACACCAGCGATGCCGGCGATGCAAGCGATGCAAGCACCACCGGCGATGCCTCCGGCAGCAATGTTGCAGATGCCGGCGGCGATGCCAGCAACACAGGGACCACCGATGCAACCGGCGGCAATGCATCCACTGCTCCAGCCGCAACAAATGCAACCGATGAAGCCTGAAAGTAATTTCCAGGGGCTCTTTAAAATGACAAAACAAAAGAAACCAAAAGCGTTGGCGAAGACAAACGGCCAAGTCCACTTTTGCCGGAAGGGACAAGGCGGCTACGAATGGGGCGTCGACAAAAATGGTCTCCCTTGCGCTAAACCAGGCCCCAAAGGCCTAGTCGGTAAAAAAAACAGCAAGAAGAAGGCCAGGAAAAAGAAGCAATACAAGAAAATGAGAAGCAGCGATTAGGCAGGGCTCACGCTCTAACGTCACGCACCACTCTCGCTCTTCTCTGCTACCTCGACACATTCCCGCGCCGCCTTGAAATGTAGCTTGCACACATGCTTCTTTGGTGCATGCGTAAATTAATATGGCAATAATACCATATTATTCCCATATTAATATCATATTATCTGAGAGAAAATGTCATATTTTCTGAGAAAAAACTCATATTATCTGTAAAAATAATATAATATTACAAAAACTTAGTAAAAGTTCGCCGCCACCAATGTTCGTGAAGAGGAGCGCCGTGCTGGGAGGTTTGGAGCCAGCAGGGGAGTATCCATCCTTGCATGCAGCGGTCGTGGTCGGGGTGAGCTCAGACGACCCGACGAAGCAGATCCACACGGTGGGGGTTCCGATGGGGGGGGCGTAGCTTGCGATTTCCTTTCCCGCGTAGTATCCGACTCCTGGAGTCACAAGGGAGTCGGGACTGCTACCTCCGAGCAGTGTGGCAAACTCCGTGCCGCGTGCGGTCGGCCGCTCGCTCTCGGCAGTGCCCGCTGTGCCAGCAGCCTGCGTTGGGTGGCCGTGGGCGACCGCGGCGAGAACCAACGCAGTCGCGTACAGTTCCGGACGGGCATTAAGAACGCACAGGTTCTTCGCCCAGCCTCAGGTTCTTAGCTAAGTCGGCGGTCCGTCGGGGGCCGAGCCTCAGGTTCTTAACCGGGTGGATGGTTTTTTAAACCGTTTCGGCTTCGATTAAAAATCAATAAATGGGTCTTAAAACAGTTTGGAAGTTTGGAACAGTAAGTTCGCGCATGGCGTGACAAGAGAGTCATTCGCTGCCGTGAGCTGCCCCTGCGGCTGCGGCCGCGGGGGCAGGGGCGCCGGCTGCAGGCGTTGGCCCAGCCTCAGGTTCTTAGGGAGTTCTTAGGGATCCGGCCGAAATATGAGCCTCAGGTTCTTAACGTTAGAGGTTCTTAATGCCCGTCCGGAACTGTACGGCATCATCAACAACGGGCTGTCTGGGGATTCGTTTCGCGTTCTGACTTCAGTCAGGAAACCCGGGGTCTCTGGCGGGTGGGCCGGTGGAGATTTTGTTTCCTGTCGTTAGACTTGGTTGATGGGAAGGCGAAACACAGTCCGACCAAGGCCGAGCGTTTTTGATCTCTCTCTCGGTGAGTGGGCGCCCGCCCGCCCGCCGCCTCTGACCCTCTGAGGG